GCAGAAACAGGACGAAAGCTAAATCACTCATTCAGGAACTTCTACGCCATCTCTATCGGGCAAACAAGTGGATTAGTGACTATAACTCACACTGTTGAATGACTGAAATTCCTTCACAGCCTTATCAAATTGAAAAAACTAATCTTCACAGCACAGTTGAGCTTGGAAGGGACCTCTGCAGATTGTCTAGTCCAATCCCCCTGCTCAAAGCAGGAGACATTGCCTAGTTGTGTCTTGAGTCTCCAAGGATGGAGACTCCACAACTTCTCTGGGCAACCTGTTCCAGTGTCACCCTCACCATAAAAACATTTTTCCTCATGTTTAAATAAATTTTTCTGTATTTCAATTTGTGCCTGTTGCCTCTTGTCTATTCACTAGGTAACACTGAGAAGTCTGGTTTAACCTTTGCACCCTCCCATCAGTTATTTATGCAAATTGAAAAGATTCCCCCTGAGCCTTCTTTTCTCAAGGCAAAACAATGCAAGATCTCTCAGCCTCTCCTTGTAGGAATGATGCTGTAATCCCTCAGTCAGCTTTGTGGCCATTTATATGGGCTTTTTAAGCATCCCATCTTTTGATCTTGTCCAATTAATGTTTGATCTTACCTTCACCAAGTAACTTGAAAAAGATGCCATTATGAAGTCTAAAGAAAAAAAAAGCTACCTTTTATAAACAAACCAAGTACACACCCAGTAAGTCTTTATACTCCCTGACAGCTATCCAGTTTCCCAGTGCAAACTTATTTACGAATGAATCCAGAGAGAAACTTAAATGCCAGACAATTGACTTGATGCATATCTATATATACATATATATAATTTTAAAAATGTATATAGGTGTATATGCATATATACGTATATACCCCCTAAACACGCAATACTATATATAATATAGTATTAGTATATGATACAGTATTATATACTATAATGATAACTATATTATATAATATAATAGTATATAATACAGTATTAGTATAGTATAGTATAGTATATATTGTATATTATGTATTATATAATAATGTATTTCATGACAAAACTGTTTGAATCAGAGTTATCACTCCCCCATATCATAGGCTGAAGGACTGAAGAATCAAAGTAGAATTATTTTCTCTGAAAGCTTAAAGCCCTGTAATAGAGGCCTGTGAGAATGGAAATAAAGGAAGTGTTTTGAAGTGTCTCAATTTTCACAGGCCTCTGAGAAAAAGCTTTAATAAATACAAATTAAAAGGGAGCTGGGGGAATGAGAACAAGAAGTAGCAAAGATCTGCCAGAAAAATCATGTGAAAACATTTCTCTCTTTTTCTGGAGCAAGACCTTATCATAGCCTGAGCAAACCTCACACTTCAGCGCCGCACTGTGAAAGACTTTATAGAGGAACGGAAAGAATATGAAAGAAGAATAACAGAAAGAATGTGAAAGACCCCACAGAGGTACTAAGGCCCATAAAGGAATTTGTGTTTGGCGCTTACTCCATGCTAACAAACAGAGCTGGTGATTTAATCAAATAGATGGAATTGTTTGAATAGATAGAATAGATTGAATTGATAGAATTTAAATTTGTCATTGAGATATCAAATTTCCCCTTTGCAAATGGCTTATAGGTATTGTTACATTTGGCTGTGCTGTTTGTAATTAATTCCTGAATCACAAGATATTCTTCAAACCAGTAATATTAACTAAGAATGCCGATGACTAGTGCTCCACAGATGCCTAACAAAGTACAGCATTGCCCCATATGGAATGGAAATGCTTTCCCTCTCATTTTCTTCTAGAGCTGGCAGAATTCTGTGTTGTGGGTCTGAATGTTACAGCTTTAGGCCATGACAGTAGCACATAAACACATAAGGTTAATGGGTTGTGGGGGGTCTGTCTGTACAAGGAGTGGGGTGAAGGTTCTGTGGATATGACATAATCTGGAAAAGAGGAATGAAGTGAGCAGGTGTTGCTCTTCACCAAAAGAAAAGAGGTGGCAGTTACTAGGATGACCTCTCCTACCTGGCCATAGCGCTCTCCCTTGCTGTTTACCAGAAAAGACAGTGCAGGTCCTCAGGATAACATCTTGCTGAGCCCTCAGCCATTCCAGAACAGGAAAGCTATATAGGAAGCCTTTACCCATCGAGGATTTGGGAGGCCAAGAGCAGAAGGAAACAGGAGGATGCTGCAGTGTGAAGATATATGCTATCTCAACACTGAAAGCAACGTGCAACTCCGGTGCTTCTTTTCATATCTTGGGGAGAATGTGGAAGTGAGCAGAGTGACTAATTCCTGTCTTAACTGAAATATCTTTCTGTCTCACTAGCTGGGAACCAGTTTTAGAGTAAGAAGATGGGAAGTTTGGTTGTGTGTTCAGAAGGTGGCTTTTAGTTCCAGAAAGTTTATAACTTGACTTAAAAGGTGGCTTCTACATCAGAGGCGGTTGACATCTGAGAAGCAATGATATATCGGTGCATACTGTGAACTTTTCCAGTACTCCCAGTTATACTGTGAGCCTGTACTGCAGCCAGACAACTAGGTACTCACACTGTCAATCTGTGCAGTTACACAGCTCGCACTGGTATGTATACTGAAGAGTAGAAAGGAGGATTTCTATGTATAAGAAATTATGAAATCAGCAATGGTCATACTAGCAACCTAACTAATTCTTCTCTGTCTCAATTCTACTACACTGCTTTGTGTTGTGTTAACTGTGTTATAGCAAGTCTTGTCTGGTTTAATAAAAAACCCACAAGTTTGGTGTAGATATATGAGGTGCCTCAATCATATATCTACTCTCTGGTAAGATCGGTTCTGAAGGAGTCTTTCTGTGACATGCTGTTTGTGATAGCTGAGTTAGTATCATCTGTGGGGAAGTAAAAGACAATCTCTGGAGCATGAGTCAGTTGCCTGAGCAGGCATCATTTCTTGGAAGAATTATTTCACATTACTAATGGATGTGAATTTTATGCAGAAATGGAAAGCAGCTTTACTTTATACTGAATTTAGGTGTTTTGCTGTTTTGTGTGCAGTAGTTTTCATTGCATTTAAACACCTTTCCCTAATTTGCTGAACATTTGAGGTCTCTCCTTTGGGAAAAACTGAGCCTGTTTCAATACTTACTGTCAAAAAGAATGACTCTGCCATCCCCACCGCAAGGCTGAGTATGGTCTCCAAAGCAAACACTGTTGCATTCTGTACTGGCTGCCTCCCCATATCTCCAGTAGTCAGGATTATTTCCACAGAAACAAGCATAACCTGATTCCATGCCTGCAAACTTTGATGACAAAGATGCATAAGGAAGGGAGGGATAATATTTAAAGGAGTGACAGCAGGAGGTTGTAGGAGCAAGAAAGCTGGCAGCAGAATATGTGTGTTTTGGAAAAGTATGATTAGTCAACAGTCAGAGGTCCCAACACAAACCATTTTTGTTTGAGCTGTCAGGATGCTACTTAAGACTAGCGAGAAAGATGGACTGGAGGGCAATTAAGGCACCTTATCACTCATAACTGCAATAAGCAAGCATACTTTCTCCTGGCATCCTGGCATTATTAACTGGTCATTTGCCCAGAACGGTCTGGATGCAGAGAGAGGCCTAGGTCCCCTGGAGCGGGAGTGAGACCTTAGACCTCCTAAAGGTAAAAAAAAAAAAAAAAAAAAAAAAAATGGTGGGGGAGACATATGATAGAGACTTTTAAGCATATTGCCCTCTTTTGTCTTTGAAAAGATTTTGTAAATGTATGTCAAAAAAATCACCTTAAATTGTTGACTTCGGCAGGAACTGATGCATGTTTGGATAGTAAGTTTATTGGAGGTCTCACTGGTGCCAGTCAAAGGTGGTGGCTCTCCATGGTCCTTGTAACACCCGAGATTTCCTGGCACTGGCAAGAATAACAGACAACACTCATTCTAAAGGTGTGCCTGGAAACACCCAAGACACAAGCTGCTTTATGCACTACCTGTTTACTAATCAGCTCGCTATCTGTTCTTGTCTTGATTTCACAGTATGGGAAATGTTACTGTATGATAGATCCTTGTCATATTTTCCAAACATATCCAGGGATAAATGACAGGTGGTAAAACAGCACTATATCTTCCTAGCAATATACCTGCAATACTCTGTAGTTGGCTTCTGTAAGCTGCAGTATTATAGACAAGATAAATACCTGGTTCATTTCTCCTGATAGATACAATTAGAAAAAAAAAAGGCATTAAGTACGTTCGGAGGTTTTGTGCATTTTTTTTACTATGATCATGCATATTCTAACAATGTAAATTAAACAATGCAATTTCTGTCTGATCTTCAAAACAATGAAGTTCTGGAAGTTTTTTAGAGAGGATATTTGAGGAAGGGAACCTAAACTGTTTTAGGATAGAGTTTGGCAAGTTTTATGGGAGGTAGTATATGCATACATAGGGGAATTTCCTAATATTTAAAACTCGAATTCTGATATGAATTCAAAGTATCACATTTTACATTATGTACAAAGAGATTCAAAATGAGCAGTATTACTTTTTTAAAGAAACATCTATTTATACTGTATTAATACAATGTTTCAAGGCTCCTTGGTCACTATGGGAGGTCAAAAAGAGTTTTCTCCCTTCATTGCATAAGTTGTCCTCTTTTTTTTGTTTTGTTTCATTTTTGCACTTTTCATCAAAGGACTGGAATTTGTCCATAACTGCTAGAGAGAGGAGGTACAATATAGTGCTGTGCTAATGGCATAAAATTATCCCTTGCCTACTTGTCATATCTGCTCATATACTTGGAATTAAATCTATACCAGCTCTGTGGGCAGATAATTTTTACCCCTGTGCAAGTTTGACAAGGATTATTTTTTGTCTACCTAGCCTCCATGTCTCTGTATAACATGTGATGCGGTCAGAGAACTGTATACGAGTTTTACTTATTCAGTCATTTGTTATTTTGGTACCCAGTAAACTCCAAACTCTCTCTTGCTAACATCATGTTGCACAGCACTGTTTCAGGTTTTTGACTTACTTTTGCTGGGGAAATGCTGGGTTTGGGGTTTTGCAGCCTCTGATGCCTGACAGCATGTGAATTAGCTGTTTTGGGGCTCCTTTTGAACCAGCCATCTCTTGTACAGGTGACCTTTTTCTCCATCAGATAATCTGTGTTAGTAAACTGCTTCTGTATTATTGTACTTTCAAATAAATGCCATAGAAATGCAATGATGCTTTTTGTACTGAGCAGTCTTGTACAGTAGTCCTGAAACCATCTCTTCATTGTATTCTGAAAGGCCAATTTCTGGGATTTCTTCTACCTGTCCATGTGCAGCAGCCATTGATATAATGCCTTGAATCCAGAACTTCTATGTGTCTAAATCTAACAAAGATGGTCTCATCCCTGTTCTTCTGGAATATTACTGAGCTTGTAAACTGATGTCAGCTTACTGTTAAAATTTGAATCATCCTGACATCTGGTACAGGTCTGTCTGAGAACTTGCTCCCAGACTTAGGCTATGTTGCCTATGGCAGCTTCCTTATTTTAAGAGGGTTAGCATATCTATTAGTGACCAGCCGATATACTGGCATGTAGATGATTGTACTCTTAATGAGGATGATTATAGCATTATAAAGAAGAAATAATGAACTTTGGAAGAAAATTCAAGTATGTATATTTTTTAAATAATTAGATAATGTTGCTTTAAATACTGTTCATAAAATAATTTTGTTTTCTAAGAATGATACAATTTCAATTATAAATGCTTGCACGGAGTTATGGCTTTGATACACCCTGCAGCAACATGCATGTAAGTACTGAGACTTCAAGTTACAGCCTGATTTAACATACCTTTCTTTGGAAATCCCCATTTGCAGCCCCACCCCAGCTGAGTACAGCTGGGCAGATAATTCTGAGGGCTCAGGTTTTTGTACAGTGCATGACCTCACTGCCCTGAAAAAGTTTCCTAGTTAACCAAGCTAGCTCATTTTCCTATAAGACCTGGGATTTCCTAAAATCACATATTATATATATAAATACATATATATACATACTATATAAATATAAATATTTAAGTAGCTTTATTGGTGAGGCTCTTCAACCTTGTCTCCAGAGAATTCGTACTTCAATATGTTCTATCCTAAGAAACCTGAGTAATTTGAAAACTTCTTACATTTCGTAACTAAATCAAGTGTACCATTTGTGTACATCCTAAAGCTAATCAGCCTCTTTGGTGTCCCAGCAGCTTTTTAACTTTCTTGTATCTAGCAAATAAAATTAGTGTCATGTGATTGGGAATAAAGAGGAGAAGCATCAGTTTAGCCCAATAGAGAACAGTAATTTCCATGCCAGTGCCCAGCTCTTCAAATTGCTTTGATATCAAATCAACAAACTACATGACCCCAAGGGTATATGCTCAGCTAAAAGCACTTTAGTAGTCCCACATCAAATATATGATTAAATGCTCTTCTGAACTGGGACAACACACAAAAAAATTACTCCTGACATGCATATATGATTTTGATACACCAGTTCTTCCTATGGCTGCTGATGGGCGCGTCCTAAACCTGAGACACCACTGAGTTGCTACTGAAGGGTAATAAGAGTACATAGTATAAGCATAATAGTAGAGGGGAAATAATTTGTAATCTGAGTTGGAGAAGATCTAATTGGCAAACACTGCTTTTATATCATATCCACAGTAATAAAAAATTAATGCTTTTTCAACAATATTTTTTGTGTATTAGAATAATATGCTCCTCATTAATATTATGTTAAACTGAATCAGGATGTATGCATAGGGAGCCACTTCATATAAAACTAAAACAAGACAGTGTACATTTAGGTATGTGGAGCAGCTCTGCAGAGAAGTCCCTGGACATCCTGATAGACAGGAAGCTGAACACGAGCCAGGAGTGTGCCAGGGAGCAAAGGCAGCCAACAGGCCTGTACTAAGAGGAGCACAGACAGAGATCAAGGGAAGTGATTGTTCCTCTACACAGCACTTGTTACGACCACATCAAGACTACTATGTCCAGTTTTGGGCCCACCAGTGCAAGAAAGACATTAGTTGTCTGAAGCAAGTTCAGCAGCAAGCCAAGACGCTCAGAGGGCTGGCACACTCACCCTGTGAGAAGAGGTGAGTACCCTCTATATAGCCTATACGTGTGTACCCTATGTACATATATATATATATATATAAAAAGCAATGAAGAATCAAAAGCATTTCTAGATAGGTAGTGCCTGTTTAATTACTCTGACCTTTAAAAATTTCCAACATAACCTTTTGCCTTAATTTGCTTTTAATGTTTAGCCTCCTAAAGAAGCTTGGACAAAATGAGGTAGTCAGTATTCTGTTATTACTGTTCATGCTGATCAGTGATGTCTTACTGTTACACTGCCTTCACCCACCTGTATCTATTTGTTCTCTCATGCTTAAAAGGTCATCTCTTTTGTGCAAGCATGCTATTTTTCTTTTAAGCAGCATTTGACATAATGAGGTCCTGGCAAACACCAGACCTTCTGCATATTACATGTTAAGGCACATTAAAACATGGAATTCATCCTTTTGAGCTCAAAACCATGTTCCAGCTATGCTCATCTAGCTGTCTTTCAAGAGCCTCGTAGCTTTTTGCAATGGTAGTATGCATGGGTATACTGCCTCAAATTGTGCGAGCTACTCTGTTCTTCTGTCAAAATGTATGCAGGTCAATCTTACAGAGTGATCAATACAGCTCTGTATAACTTACCTGGCTCTGCCATTTAACACCTCATCAATATTTCAGTCAAATTTATTACATGACATACATGCACACAGGAAATATGATTCCGGTAATAAAACCTGTTTATGGTAAGAGACTTAGGCGGCCCATAAACATGGAGATGCAATTAACTGCGACAGCAAGCCTTTCTTTCTTTTACCTTTTGGGAGCTTAAGTTGTTATTTCCTTTGAATTTCAACCTAACCTCATTAACAGAGAGACCAAAAAAGTCAGGAATAGCTGCAACATTGCAAACAAGCCATCTAAAGCATTCAGTTCTGAATTCTCCATGTGAGATGCACATTTTCTCTCAGGACTCAGTGCTGCCTTCTTGCCTTTTGTTTTGTTTATGTCCATTCCCGTCTGCTTAACAGGCAAGCCATTAAGAAGAAGAGAGGAAGAAAAGGAAAGTCTAAGTTCCTACTGGGGTAACTACCGCTGTCTTCTGTGACTATGCCCATCCATCCTCATCTAATGTTGCGAAATGCCATATAGCACATTTACACATGCAGAATGCCAGAACATATTTCTGGATGAAACATTTAGTGTTGCGTATAAATATTAGTGAATGAGACTTAGTGAATGAGACTTAGTGAATGAGAATTTCACATAATAATGTGAAAGCACCATCATAATGAAAAATTCTTAACTGTAGACTCTTAATTACTGTTACAGTGAATCACTGCATGCAAATCTCTCTAGGCAATCAAGACGCTTCATGTTGTTGGCATTGTAGTGGTATTATGTGGGTATAGTTTATAGGTAAATTATGCTCTGGATACTTGTCTTTTCTAGTAGTAAATATAATTATGGAAAAGAGTCTTATGTAAGACAATTTTTTTACTTCTCTAAAAATTTACACAATTGCTTTCTTGCTCCATCACAAAACTCAGTTTTGTATTATGCACTTCACAAGTTGGTTTTGATGGTCCTATGATTTAGCATCATGCTTACTGAAAACAGAAAATCTGGTAAAGAATAAAAGGGTTTTTTTACTTGCACAGCTTCATAAACCATGAGGTTTGTATTAAGACTTGGACGGGCTTGCAATGTACAGTTTGTTCTAAATTGCTGCAATTCCTTTTTCTAGTATCCAGTTTCAGTGCAACGCTTGAAGCAGCTGCTACTGGTCAAAAGGACATTTTGTAAATGTAAGTCTGGATTATCTGTGCAAGTAAGTGTCCAAGTTTAAATCCTCTGCTCCCCACCACAGAGAAAATGAGTGAGGCTGGTTTTAAAAGGATCCTTTGTGTAGAACAAATGGAGTGGAGAGAATTTGCCTTTCAGCTTTTTTACTGGTGCCATATCCAGAGAATTCGTTAACATCTGTGGTCTTTAAAGAAAATGCAAATTCTTTGATTTAGACCAAGATAAATTTCTTAATTATGAGGGTCATGTTTCCTAAATAGGACCTGGTATATTAGAAAAGTAAGAGTAAGATGTCCTCTGAACAATGACTATCGGAGTGTTGAATGATTTTGTGTTATTTAAATCAGACTCCTTAAGCTGTATTTAAGTGTAGGTAAAAGTCACATGAGTTAAGGTCACACTTATGTACTTGTTTGCCTAACTTGAAGATGTGAATCCCTTGCTCACATTCATAAAAAAAGAAAACTGTGGACAAAGTAAAAAAATCACTTTAGATCCATTTTAGCTTGTTTGGTTTTATTTTCTTAACTTCAGGTAAGAAATGTACTTCTTCCAATTGAAAGTATGCCTATATAAGGACAACTGCTCTGATGCTTAACAGTATACACATAAGTTATCCCTTAGAAATAGAGAGTACTTGCACAGAAGAAGTTAGGAAAGCAAGCAAAGGCATTAGTGATTAGCCTTAATCAAATATGTAGTTATAGTTGCTTGTTAACATGCAAAACTCAAATCTATTTAGGCATATTTTAAAGAATGTGATTCTTAGGAGTTTATCCTGAAGCATTCAGGAATGAAAATTTTGGAACTTATTGACACGAATCATGACAAACCTCCACATTTTAGACAAGATAAATAATATAATAAATTAAAAATATTAAATATTGGAAGGAAGCTTCAGGTGAATAGCTTATGAATTATGTGTTAAAAAAAAATTGAACAAAGTCCAGTTTGTGGTTTCACAGCAATGATAAGTATATGCACCTGCAACGAACAGAATTCTAGCCCAGAGCTCCCATATACCTAACAAATAGCCACCTTTTCCCTGTGTCCTCTCATACTGTCTTTATTTGTTCCAAGCAATTCTGTGTATGATGTGTTATACACATTAAATTAATGCCATCCATTTTACAAGCTAATTGCAAATGATGGACACATACTTACTTTGTAGAAAAATTGATTAATAATCTCCTATTAATTTTTGTCCTCTAGATTTTAATAAATGAATGACGTAATTCTATGGATTAAAAAAAGTAGCAGTACTTCATAAGTTTTGAGTGATTTTCTGTCTGGTATTATTTGTAAATAATATAAGCCAGTAATTCTGAGATAAGATGAAAAGGATAGCAATGGAAGAACGATTCAGTAAGCTTGTCATTAACTCTAGAGACCCATTTAAAATATTGCTTAGTCTGCAAATGAAAATAAGCTGATTGGCCTTATACTAGCTTCTGTTTGAAAATAACTACCCACTGTTGTATAACTGCCAATCTCTGTTCAACAGAGATGCACGCCTAAAAAAATTGCATGGTGCTCTTACTTCGGCAGGTTGGAATCTCACAGTATTTCCAGTATATTCCATCCTCATGGTCTGCAATGTAGCACCATGGGCTGACATCTCCATCAGGGTTCCTGAAAGAGAAAAACAGAGTGAGTGAAAAGTCATAAAATATTTTCAAAAAACCACATAAAAATAAATCTTATTAAGCTTCAGCGTCATCACTATTTTTGCTCTAATACCTATTGAATATTTAACCTGTTGGACTTATATACCAAGAAAAATGCAAAAGGCATCAGGAAGTTCAGATAATTTTGGTTATTACAGTACACAGCAAGCATAAAATGCTAGTAATGTCTAAAACATAGCTTCTTTTTTCTTTAAGTCTAAATGATGCAGAGCTATTTCTGGACAGTACCGAGAGAGAGGAAGATTTTCAGCCCCACATCCTGCATACAGATTGCTTAGACTCCTAAACTTGATTTTTGCCTTGGTACGAAATAGTCCAAACTCCAACTTTCTGTATGTATGATGACAAAGACATTTATCTGATAAAGTCTTCTGCAAAAGACTGAGGTCTTTTCTTCCGCTTCAGTAAGGCTGAATAAATCTGTTCCAGTGATCTGATATATATGAGATAATTCCTCATGTGTCCATGATTATTCTTTGCTGTTGTGTAGCATCATCTACAAATGCACACCTATGTACACTTTGAAAAAATATTCACATTGAAACAATCAATTTAAGACAATAAACTGTTATTTTGGACAGTCAGGTTGACCTTTTCTTGTAACTAGGGCCAACTGCAATCTTTTTATCATGTACTTTGGCATGAATTCTATTAATGAGACCTCCCACACACTGCAGTGTCAGTTCAGCTGCACACTGTCATTTGGGCATATTAACAACTCTTTGTGGGAGATCCAATTTCAGAACTGCTGGGGATGTATTTTTGTCAAATAAGAGAATGAAGACTATTGGTGAGTCGAGTTCAATTTAGCTGACTAAATGCTGGTAGTTAGGCTTTCAAACAGACTAGTAAAAGTAGTGGATGAGGAAAGCCTAAGACTTGTGAGATAGGAATTTAGGTGTAACGGCAGAGCTTCCAGTGGCTAAAGAAAGTAGAAGACTAAAATCTTGGAAATCAAGGAAAGCTTGTACTTGAAATAACACAATTTTTCTTGTTTTCACAGTCACAGGAAATTCTGGGTTTACACCTGCATGACAGAAATCAGACGTCTGCAGCTGAATCGTGGTAATGGCACTCCACATATAAATGCCTTAAAATGCAAGGAAATTGCAGAGAAAGGTGATGAATGTCTTTCAAAATCTCCAAAGACTCCAGTCTGCATAATTTTGTTATGGCTGAAATAAGGTTTAGTGGAACGTAATGAGGCATTTCCATCTTAACAGGGTGCCTTGCAGTAAACAAAGTATTCCAAGTAAGGACCACCCACGGAGACATAGCATGCTTCTGATTAATACTTTAAGTGTAAAATTAGATTATTCAAATGTTGTCCCTAAAATTGAGCCTCAAAGCAATGTATTAAAAAAGCCTTGTGAGAGATGTATTGCCTCAGAGAAGGGAAGACCAACTTGTCCGTTGTCACCAAGCAAATGAATGGCAGAGAAAGAGCTGAAACAGTGATACCTTCACTCACAAGGCCTTGACAAGATTTGCATGCTAAAGATACGCTCTGACACTCTTGAAACAGTGAGGTTCCAAGCTTTTCCCAACAAAATGCGAAGTTTTTTAACTTCTGTTAGTTAGGATCATCATTCCATACACCTATGAGAATATTCCTGGGCCAAGTGATATAGCATACGGAAGGAAAGTCCATCTCAAAGAGGATAATCTAACACCTAGCAGATTGGGGTTAAAAAGCTGTATTTTGTAATCAAGTCATTTTTCAAGCTTACATACCAGATTATAGGCTTCTTGCTCCTTGTAACACCTACCAAATTCTCATTTGCTAAGTAAAGTGAGACTCTACTAAGGATTACTTGAATACCTGGATAAACACTCAATTTATTATGCACTTTTTTGCATAGCTTGTACATGTTTTCCTTTATACTAACCTAAGTATTAGCCAGAGATGAGTGCCAAAAGTAAGACCCTGTAGATACAATCTATCTAGGATATTGCCACACAGCAACAATCAAAATTACATTCTTGACTCTGCTATTTGTATCAGAGATGATTCAGTGGCCACTGGCCTTTTTATAGCTTCATATTAGTATGCATACTGAGAGACACAGCTCTCTACATGTCATGAGAATTGTTATGCATTTGTTGTTGGGCTGAGGGAGTCTGTGAAATTGGTGTGAAATGTTTTTGATGGGAAGACAGTCCTTCCAGTGCCCCCATGCTCTGATTCTAGACAGCTTGATGGGTTTACTTGGCTTCTAGGCCAAGAGAATGCCCAGCTACTATGGAGTTTCTCTTGTAGGTGGTGTATTTTTCTTTGCTCCTGTAAGATGCTGAACTGATTCAAAAGAGATAATAAAGCAATAATGCTTTCTTCTTCTATGGGTGAAAACAAGAGTCCACTGGTGCAACACATTGACCGGTGCTACTTTGAAGCACTCTTGCAAACACTGGAAAAAATCCCGAGCAAGTCTTTTTCTTCCCTGTCCTTCACCAATGTTCTTCAGTGAGAAATATCCTCCCGAGTCATCAAATACTCTGGAAATGCCACTGACTCCTTTCATCAATGTGCTCATTGTCACAAGACCTCTTTTTTTGTGCTTTCTTACTTACTCTCCATCAACTGGCTGTCTCTGCCTCTGTCATATTTTCTTGAAAGTCTATTTCTGATTAAATACAGAGAAGTTCCTGGATCAAGAACAGGACCCTACGTTCGCGACATCAGCAATTGTGCTGAACTCCTGCATATTAATTTTGCCTCATTTATCATGATTTATATTGCTTACAGTGAAATGATTTCAACATGAAGGTGGCAAGTGTATAGGTTCTACCCTAGAAAGTCTATAACCTGCTCAGTAAAATCATCTTCCAGGAGAACTGAGATGTGGTTTGAACCTTCTCACAAAGGATACATTAGAGTTTTTCTTGCTCTGCCCCAGGTAACTCAGTCTCTTGGTTTAAACATCTCTGTCACCATTACCCACTGAGTAAGAGACACCACTCAACTTTATATGCATCCTAGATGAGCTGATGATTATCACTGTTTAAGGAATGTATCTATCAGATTATTCCCCATCTGTTTCCACAGGAAGTATAAATGGGCATAAAAACTTAGCTGGTCAGTCCTGCACAACATCAGGAAATTAAATGTTGCAGGCTGAAAAGAGCCTGCAGAGCATAAACATCTCTGAACTGAGGTTCTTATTTGGCTCCTAAATTATGAAGTTCTAATTTAAGTTTTGTTCTGAGTTCTATCCATAGTTATGGAGGCCTTCTCTAGAAGGCAACAAAATGAAAGCAGATCTGCCATGGTTTAGGCTGGTATTGTAACAACTGACAGTTGAGCTTCTGAATTCAAATAATTCTATGTCACTGAACAGCTTACACTCACTGATAATTTTTAGTAACTATGGAACTTTCATTAGTACAACACTCAGAAACATAGTGTATAACAGAACCAGACTTGTTGGGTGAGGATAAAAACCATAATGTTCCAGAGACTCCTACAGACATTCACTAGTGCTTCTGTACTTTTGACTTGGAGCAATTTTTTTATTAACGCCTCCTTTTCATTTAAGCAATCCCTAGTCTTTCTCTGTCATGCCAAATTATAGATTGGATAGATGATATGGACTTTGGGTGAGAGCTGGGTTGAAAAAGTTATTCTACTAGTGGTGCTTGTAGATCCAAGGTACTGATTACAGGATAAAACGAAACCTGTTCGATACCCATGGTTCTGACATTCTTCACTGTATGACAGGAAGTTTCCTAACTTTGTCTTAACTGTTTAAAGTAACACTGAGTATATAGGCAATGTTAGCAGCAATGGGATATGTCTTACCTGCAGTAGTTATGCTCTCCAAGCCCTCCCTCCCCATTGGGATATTTCAAAGTATTATAAGGATGCTCAAAGGTCTCATTCCAAAAAAGACAAGGTTTCCCTGCATATTGGGAGGTCTGGTTCTGAGTGCCACGATAGTCAGCCCCATTTGCTGTATAACATTCTGGGAAGAAATGGAAATGGAAAAAGAGAAAGAATGTATATAGGTTTAGCGTTTGGTTGTTCTTCCCTCGCCCTCCACCCCATCCCCAAGAGACCATGTTTCCTTTCACTAACATGTTTCCTGCATTGTTTAGGCAACTAAAGATGCTGTCTGGGATTTAAGTTTTCTCTCAGAGTAAAACATCTATTGAAGAGACTATGATTTCATTACTTTACCAAACAATGTATAAGACAGATCTGAAGAGTGATTAATACAATTAACATATATTTTCAGAATAAGCATACTACATTTTTTACTGTTTTCCCCATGCTTTACTTATTGGAATAAATCTGTAACTTGTTAATTTTCAAAAAATGAAATTAGATTACGTTATCAGTCTGCCACTTATCAGCATACTACCCAAAATCTCATGCCAGTTTAATTAAAGTTCTGAATATCTGTACTTTATGAAGTGAAAGATTTTGTAGGCATGGATGTTGCAAACATTTACATCCTGATTTGGAAAAATTCTTAGGCGTTTTTTTTCTGGCCTGAATTGCCTTACCAACGACCTCCTTCGGTAGAGTATAATCATGATACTGTAATTTGCTACTAAAGCATTTATGCTTTCAGATTAAAACTTACAGGTCAGTATTATTCTGCCTCGCTCATCTTTTCTCCCATTTTTGTTTGTTTTCCTAGCTTCCTAATACTCAGCAAGTTAGAAATCAAAGCAGAGAATGATTTCTCTAGTCTTTAAATACACTATCTCTGTCTCAGCTGAATTACAAATCTCATGCTGCCTGGCTTTGCTGTGTCTTACTAATGACATCTTCTGATCAAATAAATATTCATATGCATGAACAATTTTACCTTTACTAAAAATGCAAAACATTTTTGATTAAATTATGTGCTGTGAGGGTGACAGAGCATGGAACAGCTTGCCCAGAGAGGTTGTAGAATCTCCATCCTTGGAGATATTCAAAAGCCATCTGGACATGGTCCTGGACAACCTGCTTTAAGTAACCATGCTTGATTAGAGGGGTTGAACAAGATAACCTCCAGAGGTCATTTCCAACCTCAACCATTCCATGATTCTGTGATCATCTTCCAGAAATACTCCTTATAATTAGCGTACCATAAGTAAGTCCATCCTGTTTATAATAAATACTTGGTAACATTTATCATCCATGCATTTATTTAAAAATAGCATCAAAATACAACAGACCATGGCAGAATTAAAACTGCTGCATTACACTGCTGTAAAAATTTCTCTGTACTGAGTAACATTATTGGGGAAAGCCACAAATGCTTCCTACTAACTGCAGGCTGCACAACCTTCTGTTTCATCTGATAGTATTCTCTGTAGAAACCATCTAACAGCTGCAGAGATGTGCTACTGCCCTGAGGGTAAAGGAGAGTGCTCTGAAGTGCCGTATGATGATCTCAGGTGTCCCTCATGAGATGTACCTTACAAAACAAGGCTAGAAAGACCTGTGTGGCTGCAGTTGGAAGAGGGAAAAAAACCACCACCCCCAGCTTAATCCTGATATTAACAGCACACTTTTTATATTTAGAAATACTGTGGGAGAAGTGAAAATGTATTAGTAAAACAATGCCTTTGAAATGAGTTTAGTCTGGGCCCACAAGTATCAGAATGGTGCAATTATAATTATTTTTTCACAGTTTTATTACAAAGCAGATGAAAGCTGACGGTTTTGTGCCTTCACTGTGCATTTTCATGTCTAGGCAAGTTCAGTTTTCTATTAAATGGAATTTTGTTGCTGAAGGCACACAGAAAAAGTGTCTGCACAGTCATTAATGTATACTGCTATCATCTGTGGACAGAAAGCTACCTAATTTAATAAAAACAAGCTTCAAGTCAATACTCGTCTACTGTAATTTACCTGACTGCCTTAGCCATGCAGGTGAGCTACATACATCTACTCAAAAATGCAAATCTGAGTTTCCAGTGTTCAGGCCACCACGGATATTTGCATAAACACATGAAAAAAACACACTTTAAGGTCACTTGCAACACTTGCATAGTGTTGCAACTTTCTTCAATACCTCTCTTGCTTTGCAGTTAATGTAAAAGTTCTTCTATGTCATAGCTGAAAAATACAAGCTGATGAATTTGGTAGAAAAGAGAGGAAAACACAGTCAAACTGGGTAAACAAAGTAACATTCAGTATAAAGAAGCGGTTGTGAGAAGTGATAAACGCACCCAGAAAAGATGTCTACTTCAGCTTAGTGCTACTAATTTTTTTGCTTCTCACTTCTATATTAGAAGCAATATGTACCAACATCTACTCAGAAATGCAAGGAATGCTACAATACCTGAATGTAATCTGGCACACAGACTACACTGAAGTTAACATCAGCCCATTTTAGGATCTGCTAAGACTGGCCCATGCTTTAACTTGCAGTAGCTATTGTCTTTCATGTTCTTCTCAGTTTGTTTAATAGATTTTCTTCAAACTTCATTGCACTAGTACTTTAAGGACATTGCACAAAAGAAAGAGTCAGAGCTCTCTTCATTCCTCATAGCTGTATTTTTTTGTTCCCAATAGGTAGCTGTAACAGTGCCTCCTGTGTTCTTTTGTGCTACCAAAAGATTTGGGAAAAATGTGCCAGCTGAGTTGTAGTGAAGCTCCCCTGGCTTTGTTAGCCTCTAGGTGTGGAAGGGGGAAGGCAGTGAGATACCATGTAAAATCATTGATTATCCCCCAAAAAATTAAATGAATACTTTAAGTTATGGAATTTAGCAGCTGCTACCAAATGAAACACATAACTTTTTGTGCTACAGGGAATTTGCTAGGAAATTTTCATTTTGTTAATGATTAATAATAATTTTACCATAGCATTGGAGTGCAATATTTTAAAGTAAATATTGGCTTTTAAAAATCAGGTCCTCAGTCCTGCATTCTTTCACCTTGGACAATCAGCTTTGAGATCTGCTGAGATATATTTTGTACAGTTTTGTATAAAATTCCTAGTAACACAGATACAGATCTCAGCATATTCAATATTTTGGCAGTAAACAGCTGAATTCTTCTATTCATCACACATGGTGATTTCGCTGTGTTTTGCTGCATGACAGCCAAGACACTACCTTAGTGATTTCACTACAAAATTAATATTCCCAATGTGTTGAAGGTGCAAAGCGAATGTTTCATCTGCAGACAGACCACTGTCCTCTCCATTTCAAATCCGTAGGGTGCCCTTTAAAGACAAAAATCCTAAGAAGTTCTGGAGAAGAGGAGGCTAGAACCTCTGTCCTTCTTTTCATCTTGCACCACTGGTGCAATAACTCTGTGAAAAGATGAGCTTAAAAAAGGCTAGCCAGAATTGTCTGCACACAACTAGTTCAGAAGAGGTCATCTAAATAAAACAGTCAGAAAAGAGTGGACTGAACACTACTGGTAAAACTCTTGGGCTTACTCAAATTACCTGATTTCTCTTTGTTAGGTTACTATCATGAAGAAGGGAGAGGGGGGAAAAAAGCCAACAACCAACAACAACTACCTCTTCTTTACTGTTCTGGCACCCGCTGGATCTAACTGCCTCGTGTTGGTTGATACTTCCATATTACTTTAGGCTATGAAGCCCTTCGCTTGGAATCTAACTAACATCAGAGCAGGGGTTCAAGGAAATTAATGCCAGTTCTATGAATTTCAGCAACCTTATTCCTTAAAGTTTTGTTAGACTATGGTATCCTATGACAGAACTTGCACTGCATCCAAGTCCTCTCCAGGTGGCAAAGACAGCAAGGGAAGAATAGGCACTTTGTGGAGGCTAAAGCTGACAGCTTCCTAGAAGGCATCAGAGTGCCACTGTGCTTTATAGATTTGTCACATGGTTTCTGTTCATGCACCCAAGGCTCAGTTTAAACTATCCTGTCAACCATAAACCTATATTAAATCACTAGGGTTTTAGACAGTACATGGAGAAAGCTGTGACCACTCAAATCTTGAAGTCACCGACCTCATATTTCTAAGATCTTAGTCAGTCAGGTTTCAAGCGTAATGTGAAGACTTGCGTCAAATCCATGATTAAAATCAATGCCTGTGATGATTTCACTCTATTAAATGCCTAATGATCCTGCTGATTCTACTGTTTCGTGGGCATGTCTGCAAACAGAATTAATCAGAAATAGAACCACTGCGGTGGTTCTAGTCATGAAAAGCTGGAAGGTTCCAACAGGTCTTGTTCAGGATAATGCTTATGAGCCTTAGTGAGAAAACATGGACAGCAATATGTTGTCAAGGCTGTTTTGGTTTCAACACATCAGGTGCCATGGTTGACAGAAAAATAACTCTTTTTTTTAAATGAATACTGAGACTTGATAAGTACATACTGAGTGGCAAGTGCTAGGAAGAAAAGCAGAAAATAAGCCTGGGGATGGTTGTCCACTATGAGTGAATGCTCAGTGTGTGACACAGGTTCACAATTAGTTTTATTAGAGCCAGATCAACATTTGGAAGATCAAACAGCAGCTGTAGTAGAAATTTTTTCCATCTGTCTCGGTTTCTTCTTCGATGTAGGGACCTTACAATGATCATTTATGCCTTTGTTACTTTGGAACTGTATGGCTGCCTGCACTCCACATGGACGCCACTTTAGGATCATTTGAAAAATTAAGGTAGTGCAGAATATAACAGCCTGACTTTTTTACTGAATGAAGCACTAATGATAAAACACTGACGTTTCAGAGTCTGCACTGAATTCCAATGATTTTCTAAGATGGACTTCCAAATATTGGTTTTCACCTCTTAAGTCCTTAATGGCAAGAGGCCCAGTTACCTGAGAAACTCTCATTTTGTGCCACATTACCACAGACAGAAATAATACAAACATTTGAATTTAATCAGCAGTCCTTTCTGTACAAATGAGATAAAAGCAAAGAAAACAGCCATCTACTTCTCACACACTCTTCCTTTTCTGGCTCACAAATGGGAAATCTTATAAACCTTCTGAGCATTCTTCAAAGTCCGTATTTTCTGAGAGACATATATTTAGTGACATTACAAACTGCAGACTGAAGAGATAGAGGTTTCAGGGTGGTTTAAATGACTTCTTAGAGTACTCTTCTAAGTTTGGGGCATGTACATAGCTTTTGAGACTGAAAATTCAGAATTACAAACTTGTTACTATTTCACTGAAAAAAATAAACTTAGTCACACTATTTATTTGCTTTAAGTTCTGGGAGCTACTCTGAGTGCTGACTAGAGGCCAGAGAGATTAAAGGTTGACAACAATTATCAACCAGAAACCAGCCTACCTAGGCCAGAAATTATCCTACCAGCTAGTGCGCAACAAGAAGCAAGGTTTTCTTTTAAAAATCTGCAGAATAATGAAAGGTAAATGAACATGGCTGCTCTTTAAATCTTGGGTTTCATTACAGTGGTGTGATAGCCTGAACATTAAATGTTCTGTAAGGCTGGAGCAAGAAATAAAGGTTCCTTGAATTTACATGCTATAACTGCCTTCTCAGTTCTCACTTATTTTTCTTACAGCCTTTCAGAAGAGTCAGAAAAAACGTTTAAGCAGGATACAAGGATATGGAACCAAAGGTGCCAGGTCCGATAATGACTAGGTGTCAGTTGCTTGATGCATGTGCTTGCATAGTGTTCTAATACGAGTTTTAAGTCATTTCCATTCTACCTAAACTGTTTTCCGAGTTCTTGCTAGAGATTGCAATTTAAGCACTCCTCCTTAAATGAAAGCACTGTATCTAGGTGCAGATGGCAACAGTTACAGGCACTAACCAGATGCTGCAGTCTCTAATTTGATTGAAAGGGTATAATTAGACAGCAGAAACACTTCAATGAGAGAGTAATGCACAGAGGAAAGGACAGAAACCACTTAACTGATGCCAAGATACCCCAGCAGTAACAGAGGCAGGGGCCCACGGATGGAAGGGGCAGAACACCAAATTACCTTCTTCAGATGAGAACGTTTTTGTTTCCCTATGGATGCAAATAGGGATTCTATTATCATAGGTTGCCACAGTTTTTCATGTGGGAACACTGATTAAAACCAGAAGAAGCTTCAGGAGATCAAAGAGACAAATATGGCTTCTGTGGTCATTATTAAAAATATTTTTAGCAGTGCAATGGTTTTCTTTGAAGATGCAGTTTTATCGATTGAACAAAAAGTTAGTTTGCATACTGTCATATGATTGGGCAGAAAAAAAAATCTCATTCCATATTATGTTATGATGCAAAATAAATGCTTTTGGGAAGTATAAGGCTGTTTTAGACCTACTCAAGTGAAAAATTAGTGTAGTATTTTTACATTTCAATACTTTACTATTCCAATTAATAGTAATGTAACAAAAGCCCTTCTCAAAACTATCAGGCTTGGGTGCCTATACTGTAACAGTAAAAAAACCCACAACACAAACTAAAGAAAAAACCTCAGGAAAGAATGATCTTTGTTTAAAATTACAATTTTCAAAATTGCTAGAAAATAACTCCCCATTTGGTAAATCAGCCAGTTAAATTCTGATGTGGTACTCTGAGGGCACTTGGTTAGCTGATCATTTCTCCTTTGCAGTGTAGGGGCACTCTGCATTTAGTTTAAAAATCATCTCTCTCTCTTGTTCTACATATCCACAGAGACACACACACACAGACATATGTATATAATATTTTAAAGTCCTCAAATGCAATAATTTTTGCTGGTCAGAACTAGAATCTTATTTAGTTTTGGTCCAAACCAAAGAGCAGTCACAATGAATACTCACCTGACATTTGATCAAACCTTGACTTAAGCATCTGTCTGTCCTGTAATAATGTACACTCCTGGGAATGTACAGATGTGAAGTTCCATGCTTGTGCTCCCTGGCAGTGTGTGAGTTGTTATATATGTGAACTTGCTATTCTTGTGAAACTTTGATTACTAACCTTCAATTTAATAACTTTTTTATCATTTTTCCTTCCCCCCACAATAAAAAGGTAAATGCTATCTGACTGGCAAGACCCTTTCTGGAATATGTTGGAAGCAGGCAAATTAGGATATAAGCATGAGAGGCAGTTACCATTATTTCTAATGCTTAAATGTATGTATTTTGTACCTTTTTTCTTTTTATTAATACAATACAAACATGCTATATTAGCCACAGCTTTGCAGCTGCTGGCTAGTCCTCAGCCACAAGATGCAAACACACTTGCTTGTCGTGTGATTCTTTATCACTGGAAGTAAGAATGCATGATGTGGCCCCATAAGAATTTCTGTTCCTTAATACTCCCATTTGTTTTCTTTCTTTGTGAAGTTTTAAAACTGTTGTTCCATTGTCAAGCGTGACAGACTGAATCCCTTTGGAAATTTTATCAGGATGGGCTGTAGCCACTGTGTGGATGGAGGGAGTGGTCAATTGCACAACCATTATGGTGTGATATGACAAAGAATGCAAATTTTGCAGCTGGCAGCATGTAATCCCTGCCTCCCTCCCACTTCTTTGGCTCCATCCTGCCTAAATCCATTCACATAACTCTGGATTTTGAGTTATGCTCTACGCATGTACAAGCATGATCTGCTGAAGCATCTGACTAACTACTTCATTTTCTATCTGCCTGGTTAGAAATGCTTTTTTGAGTATTTCCATGACGATTGCTTGAGGCATATCAAGTAGAACTGCTTCTCTGAATCAGCGAGACATAGACAGAAAAAGATGACGAGATAGAAGGTTTGTCAGACAAGGCTGAAATAGCAGCTCAAAGACTCAGCTGGGAAGAAAACCAAGAACATGGTGTCCCAGTATTGTTAAATGGAAAGAAAACAGACGGGAAAAAGAGACTGATAGTCATACACATTTCTGATGGGGAAATTAAATGAACACTCTAAGTACAGAAATTAGAAGTGAGAACTTACTGCATGGAGTATGTAAAATAACATTTGTTCACTGAAACTAACATTTGCCGAAGGCATTTCCATCTCTTTGGCCTTACAATACAAAACTCACCAAATTTAGACAGTCCTTTAATGTTAGGCAATCTATTGACCCATCACTTATTCCTGAAAATGTGGTATGACTGAAGTTTGAAGGCTGCAAATGTCAGTGTTTGGATTAATAGAAACTTAGACATCACACAGCGAAGCAGAAACATTCTGTGAAAAGTAGCATAGTACTACGTGCAAAACCAATTGTTAACTCACGCTAATTTCTGACAATTCGAGACATTGTTCCATAAGGCAATACCAGAAGTTAAAATTCCTCTCCTATCTTACCAAATGATGGTGCGATGCAGTCTGTATTTTGACTGCATTTTATGATAAACTTATTAAGACATGCATTTAATAAAAAAAGGAATAAGCATTAAAAACAGACCATATGACAAACTGCCTTACAAAAGAAATATTAATGTTTGTCATTTCAGAATTCTGCTACCTTCAAGTGCAACCTAACCCAGCTGATCCCATTTAGGTCCCATGGGGTTAAGGGTCAAGAAGAAGATCCTGAGGTATGGTTTGGGCAGATTAGCAACTCTGCAGATTTTGCACAGGCCATACAAGTTACAGGTCCTTGCTGGAGTGCAGATTTGCACTGTTTCCAGGTTCTTTAGCAGAAGACACCTAAGTGGCAGTGCTTTCTAGATCCATTCTCCTTTGCTACCCCTTCACTCTGATGCATTATCTATTATTCCTCCCTCCCGCCACCTCAGCTTCTTGTGCTCAGGCATCTCTGTCCCCTTTAGTGGCTGCCAGTGCATGCAGTTAGAAGTTGGCTAGAGGATGGAAGTGCAGGTGTGTGAACAGCTAGAATTCTCTCAATAGCCTACGAACCAAACATTCTCACTAGGTTACATCCTCCACTTGCTGTTATGCAGCCTGCTATGAGGGACGTGATAACATATGGAGTGTTCTGTTCACAGTTCTGCTCAGAAACCTTACAAGATATTTTTCAACTGAAGCAAAGGAAGGAGTACCTACTGTGTGCATCAAACATGTCCTAATGCTACTGGGAACAGACTGTTAGATGTAGTCTAGATATGTCCCTGACTCGGCAGCTCTCTACATGCTTATCTGAAAATACTCTCACGTTTTACTCACTTCAGGTAACTTCTGGGAAGCTGTAAAGTTTATGTTCTGAGTTCTCTTTCTGGTAAAAGGCTTTTTTTTTTTCCCCTGAGAAAGTTTATATAAGTATTTTCCAAATCTAATTAAGTGCATCTACAAAAACTTGATGAGCAAGTATCTGTTCACGGCTAAAGGAAATAGAGCAAATTCTATGTTCTAAAGAATGACAATGATTAGAATACGCAAAACGTATCCAGGAGGACCACGCATCTGATGGCTGTGACACCGTGATCATCTGGAAGAGCCACTTCAGATCTTGCAAAGCAGGGCCAACATATATCAGAGGAGAACCATGGTACTTGAATAATCAGTGACAACTGAGATGAGGACAAAAGGGTGCAGAGAAATTTTAAGCAAAAATCACAGTAACAGGTAGCAAAGCTTCAGGCTTCCCAGATTCCTTGGCTGAGTAAGAACCTGAACGGTCAATGGAGTCCAAACTTGACAGACAGCTGGGGCAGCACGCCGCAGACAGGTGAGATGGCCACCCTCCAAGCTCTGGCTCTGCAGCCCTGACTCTACCCTGCTGCCACTGGTCATTTCATTTCCCACTAAGTAAGTATACCCACGCCCCACACTACCCTCTTCCTGCAGATACCTCTGTTCTGCAACAGGTAGCTACCAAACCAGTTACAGAAATGTGCTGCTCTTCTTCCCCTTACCTCATGCTTTCATACAGTTTTCCGAGCTCCCTGCTCAAGTGAGCACAGGGAGATCCTCAAATACCCGCACGCTGCCAACTGCGCACGAAAATACCCCCTGCACGTTTGCACGAGCAGCTTCGAGCCGTGCACCGACCTGGCGAGCAGGAAGGGACGTCGTCGCGACCTCGAAGAGGTACTGCCGGCCGGCAGAGCCCTTCGGCGGCAGGCTGCGCGCCAGCTGCGAGTCTGCGGAGTTCGGAGGGAGACTGCCCAGCTCCCTCGCCGCTCAGTCCTGTGAGGAGATCGGGGAGCAGCCC